TCCAAACTAAACATGCTGTGGCCTCTTCAGTATTACATTTCTGCGGCAAGTTTTTCCACTACACATCGTTGTCATGTTGGGCCAATTTGTTAAATAATGTAGAGGCGCTCCATCGTGGAACAATGTTTGAAGTGATTTACAGTTTGGTCTTTTAGCAGCACACCTGTGAATTGTTATGAATAATGCCAACGCCTATTAAAGAGGCATCAGGGTGCTTCCAGGCTGAGAGAATTTATGGGGAGGTAGTTGTGAATGATCCTGGATCAAAGCACTGCCAGTTTACAAGCGATCAGGTTGCCCTGATATATCTGCTAGTGTGGCCCACGGTCGGACCTGAACATGAAGGTCCCAGTTTCTGGACGGCAGAATTTGGTAGACATTTGGCAGCGCTCTCGAGCACAGAGATCAGTGATATTTTAGGCTTAAGTACCTCAATTTTTTTGAGAGCGTAACGTCACTTTGACATATCAGCTAAATTTGTAGCAAATTTTAATTAGAAATAGCTCATCACAGGTGATCGTCGCTTCCCTTATATATATGAAGTCTCCACTCAGTATGCATACAAGGAGAACAATGAAGGGGGCCCCTATGTAGCAAAGTAGATGGACCAAAACCCCAGGCTGCAGCAATACTGAGCAAATCCTACTGTCTCAAAGGTTTTTCACGCAGCAAGGTCACCAGGGAAAACTGCTGCGAAGATGAGAATGAACACAGGTAAGCAGAACTTATCTGCTCCTCATATGCGCTGAGCCAATGAGTTTACTCGCTTCTCAGCGGTACAGAATGGTTTCATTTTTCCTAGCAATGTAAACGAGAACACGGTCATTTTGGAGAGAGAGGACCTACCTTTGGTTAGTCAGGGGTTCGAGGCAATCAGAGAAGGGAGACTGTGCTTCCCCCATAAGGAAGTGACGGCACGTGCCAACTCTCTGGCAGGACACGTGATGGGTGCGAGGAACGAGCTCCTGCAGAACCCAGCGTTAATTGGAAATGGAAAGAGAGAGTGAGGGGGGATTTTGTTGAAGGGGAGAAGGGTGACCTTCATGCAGGAATGGACAGCTCGAACAGCTAAAAATGGCAGTTACTTTGAACTATGAATATGAATAAACTTGTTCAGCTCACAGAAGCAGTAGGAACACTTGTATTTCAAAGGTGCTGAAAATCACGTACAGGTAGAAGTTCCAAACACCTGAATACAAACATCAGGAAGCAAAGGTGTGAAGACACCTTGTCTAGGGCTACCAGCTGCGGGTGTTTACGACAAGCTTGCACTATCTGGTGCAGCTTGGAGGCCTTTGCTTCAGAACTCAGGAGATGACCTGAGAATTGCAACTTCCATCACACAAAAGCCGTTCCCTTTGCAGAAAGAGCTTTACTGCACACCCAGAACAAACTTTAAAGGCTCAGAAACCAGAGAAAAAAGTAAAAGGACTCCAGCCCGTCTTCAGTGAGCACAGACCTCAGGATTTCTTGGCCTATGCGATGACTTGAGGCAATATATATCATGAGTGCATTTAAAGCAGATTATGTAAATGCGCTGGTGTCACAGAGCACGAGAGAACACCTACACCCTTACAGGAACTTTTTCTTCCATCTATACAGCTCTGTGGCTACCTGAGCACTCTACAAGGTAGAGAAAACTTCCCTATCTTGTGCAGAATGAATTCATGCTGAAGGAAACCTTGATGCAGCATGGTGTTGTTGGGGCAGACGCAGGCCCTCTCCTCTGCAGGGGTACAGCTGTTACTCAATGGCTGCGGCAACCTCCAGGCAGTGGTGTGTTGGGCCAAGTGCTCTAAACTACGCCCAGAGTTAGGCTGAACAAAACTGGTCCCAGTTTAGAGGTCTAAAAGCGTCCTTCTGGCTCACTCAGTCTCTAGCACCACAGGCTTACCGGGTGCAGCCCAGGCGTCTGGCCTTGGTTTCACATGCTCTTTCAGCTGCTGAAGGCCACTTTAGATTTCTAACATCTTTTTCCCTTGAAAAATAGTTAACTCCACTCTCACTCACAGTCCTGAAGATATTTCACTCATGTCTGATATTAAGAAATATACAGCAGGGACTGCAGAAACGAATCCTACCATCTGATGGTGAGATTAAACCCAGCAGCTTTCAAGGGAAAGCGTGTTGTCTCACAGATGGAAATACCGCAGCTCCCTTCAGCGGGACCTGGGATTTGGGAAAACCAGAGGGGTGAATAAGGCTAACATACTTTTTGCAAATATATTAGTTCAGATTTTTGCTCTTTTACTTCAGTCAGGTTCACACCCTGGTTTGTATTTACTTTGCATAAACTACCCAGTACCCTGGCACAGATGGTCTCAGAAAGTAATTCTCTAGGCAGGTTCCAGTATCCTGCAATTTTCTAATCAGGAAGAAGGAGCAAAAACCATGGAATACGGCTTATATGAGTGACTGCTACCAGCAACACTGACTGCACGCTGTCTCTTCGGAGGCTGCTTAGTGCATTTGCACAGGCTGCACCAGCCCTGAATTCCCCATCGCTGACTGAGGCCTGACTGTGCCAAGTCTGGTACGCACAAATAATCTGGAAGATGGTTCCTAGCCCTAAAACCTTATAGCCTAATTGGCTTCTACTGCATTTAAAATAGTCACACTCAGCCTGGATTTCTCTCCTCTCCCTGCCAGAGTCACCTTTGCTGGCCTGCAAGTTTGTATTTTGGGAGAGCAAGCTGGCTTAGCCCAGGCTGGTTTCACGCCAGGGTTACCAGCTCTGGCTAACGAGGCCTTCCCCTTCAGGCACACCAGTAAAACTTGTCAGTGGGGCTGCTCCTTACTTACACAAGATACACGGTGCCAACACTGAGTGTATTGCTTTTACAGCGCCCCAAGCTTTGGTGGCGGGGTGCGCACACAACCACGTGGCTGACCTGCAGCCGTCATTTCAAGAAAAAGCGGTTGCTGCATAAAGGAGCTGCTCTCGAGAGTTACAGACTCCATACCACCAACACAGGAGCAGTTACGTTTTACAAGCCTGCGTGCGTGGGTGCCTGCTCTGCCCTGGCCCACGCGCACGATGTGCACTATTGCTCCTGGCAAGGGCACACACACCCCTTCCCTCCCTCCCTATGGCTTGTGTACGTTAGTGCTGCGTTTCAGCACGACAGGAGGAATTCAAAGTGCCATAAATCCTGACCCCTTTCTGCTTAACTGTTCCCATCTCAAGCAGCTGTTTAGCCATTTCTGGCAAATGCGCTGCAAAATGTGAATGCGTTGGTGATATTGCTCTCCTAGAACAGAGGCTGGGAGAGGCAAAGTAAAAGCAAAGGCTCTAATTCATCAAAATATTCTAATATCACAAAGCTCCTGTGAGAGTTTCGCGGCTCAGCAGACGCGAAAGCTCATTGCAATCCAGAACGTAAAAGCTAAAGAGGCTGCTGTGACAGAGCAAGGCTGCAAACAGAAGCCAAGTAATCCTGAACTTCCCTTATCATAAATACATTTTGTTTTAATCCGTACTGTGAGCCCAGCGAGAGCCCAGCACGTACAAGAAATCACACAGCAACGGTAGGGAGACTGATTTTCTGGTACGCACGTGGAAAGGGAGAGTGCCTAATTTTCTGAGCCAACTAGCGCTGCGGAGCCGGGAGGCAGACAACTCTTATGAAAGGAAACTGGAGAAAATGACAGCGACCACCATCCTTCAGGGAGGGTTCTTTGCAGCCGTTTCTAGAGGCATCACTCTGGTTATGTCTAGCTTCAAGGCACTTCAATGACAAACAGCGGACCTGTGGCCAGACGGGGCAACGTTTTCTGAAGCAGCCTAGGAGGACTGGGGAGCAGCAACAAACTTCCTTTGCATCAGACAAAGTTGCAAGGGATGGAATGGCTCAGCCTAGGGGGTACCAACCTTTCCAAGGTGAAAGGTTTGCATAGGTAAAATATACCTAAATAAAATACACATAAAGCTCTGTGCATGGATATGTAGCTCCCAAACTAGAGGCTAAAGGTGCCAGCTATGAAAGCAGGCGTTGAAGGAAGCTGCCTCCCAGAAACAAGGCTCTCATCAGTCCGTGTGGGGTAGGAGACCCCAGCCCCAGCTGGGTTCAGAGCGGAGTGGGAGCTAGTTGCTTTTGCAGCTCCCAGATGCTCCCCCTGAGGAGCTGACGTTCCCAGTCTCGGAGTCTTCCCTTTCCCAGTGAAAATCTGTGGTCCACTGGTTTCCTGTCTACCCTTCCAGAAAAGTTGCTATCCACTGGTTTTCTGCCTGTCCATACTGCAGATGGCCAATCTGCACAGCTGACTCGGAGAGCAGGTAGCTGCTGGGACAACGTCAGTTCCCCCCTGCCTCTGATCCTACAAAGAGTGGGGCAATTCTGCTGCGGCCGCCCACCCTCAGCTCCCGCAGGCTTCAGGCAGGACTGATGCCAGCAGTTCAGACCGACCCAGATTAGCTGTGCTTGATAACTGCTGTTCTTTAAAAGTTGTCTGCCTTTTTTGTGGTAATGAAATCAACTGGTAACTTCATTGTTAACCTCAGTGAAAAGGTGCCCACAACAGCCCAAGCTTCCTAATTCAGCAGGGAGAGGGGCCAAGGATTTTAGTTACTAACCTACTTTCTCCCCTACTCAGACTAAACCCTCCAAGCCAGCACTGCAGCGTGTGGGAATGAATCTTGGATTTACTTTGTTCTCCCTGCAGATGAGCTAGGATTAAACAGCAGATTTTCAATTAAAGACATTCTCACGCCTTGTTCTCCTCCTCCTCCTCTACCAAATGAGCTTGAGAGCTCCTGTGACCAGCAGCCATTCCAGACTTTTATGCTTTAACTTCTAAAACTAAACCTTAAATGCTTAGAAACAGAAGTTTGTCTCCTAAGATCGAACTCCTGGAAACGTGCTTTACAGCCATAGCTGCTGGGTTCCTTTATGCTCCGTGTCACTCTTCAGCGATATGCCTGTGTCAAAAGAAGACTCAAACATGGAAATATTCATTAACACATTTATTTGCTACTCTTCAAGGACAGCACATACATTCTATCTATTTGGAGGCAAAAATGTGGAAAATATAGAGATACACAGAATGCTATATAGAGATACACTATGCTATCAAACAGGACAGATTTGAAAAAAAACCTGTGGTCCTCATTCCCTTGTTTGTAGGAGTTGTATTCCCAAATACCTGACTGAACTCAGGACAAAGTCCTTGATATATATCACTTATGAAGGCTGATGAGTTCTGACCTTGTGTAACAGCTGACTCTCACGTAACTACTTACGACTTTAACCTATTTCTTGCATTTTTACATGTGTATTATTGTTTCTTCCAGTTACTTTCTACTTTTTCCTAACAGGAAACTAAAACATGGCTTTCGTAATATCTATCATCAATCTTATTTATTCCATCTATTTCTAGGTATGCAGTTATGTATATGTAGTTTATTTCTTAGTCTGCATTTGGATGGACTATTTAGAGAGGAATCTATTACTTCCAGAATGGTGATGACCTTTCTATGACACAAACGTTAATTTTCCAAATGGCTTCACAGGTAGATGGTGAAATACCTTCTATATATCATCATAATTAACAAGACACACCTCACTAATGTTCAGAAAAGATGCTTTTCATAATTATAAGCAGATTCATTTCTGAGGCGCAACTTTCCCCTCTGCTATGAATTGTTAGCCAATAAATATACCATCTGATACATCCACAACAAAGCTCACTAAAATCTTAGCCAAGAAGCGGTTTTAATTGCCAAGTCTCCCATAACGTATTCTAAAGACAGCAACATTACCATTTCAGAACTATTCAGAAGCTGATTTGCTGTACTATGTTTGACAAGTCTATGATGTTGTGCCACAGACAACTGGCTTCACGGGTTAAACTGATTTACCTGCTTTCAACATTTCATTAACGTCAAGTATTTCTACAATTTCTCAGAGCACAGAAAAACCTGGAACTGCGATTCATACTCTGTTGTGAGTATTCTTTTCTGTTTGCAATGTCCTAAGGGACAAGGGATTAGAGGCTTTCTGGAAAAACTTGGAGAAAGAATTACAGTGATAATGAGCCAGGCGGGGTGAAGAATGATTCTGTTCCATATGAAGAGCTCCTTAAAGACATTATAGAATCCACCACATAAAGAGACAAAGGAAAGAATTTCCATTATACTAACTTGAGCCCTGATCTCAGCAGTTCTTATGAGCAGGACTATGTCTGGCAAGAGATCACCAAAGAAAAACTGATGCTGGAAGAAGTGCTGGTAATTCAGTAAGTGGTGATTTTTCTTCTAAAGAAATACTGAGTCAGTATGGCGGCCAAGTAACAGTGAGCTTTGCGCTCTCAGCTATATCGTGTGAGACGTTACTCCGAGGCCTCTCTGTTATCGCTGGAGCTCTGCCTGTGTCCAAGAGTAGGGAAGGAGTCCAGGATCCTGTTCAAATTATAATGTATGGAACTAGATTCTGCCTAACCACCTTGCCCCATTAGTTTAAACTGGAAAGCAGAGCTTTCATTTTCCTGCTAAAAACTCTGCAAGGAGCAGACCCGTGGCTGCTTTCTGCCCAGCAGGTAGTGCTTTGGCAGCCAAATAGTTACAGGGATGGGCGGGAGGTACTCAGTAAACAGCACTGTCTACTGGAACTTCCTGACTGTGAAGATCAAGACTTCAACCTACATCACTGCAGGATAATAAAAGTCCCCTTATTAAAAGCCTTATGACTAAAAAAATTACTATCAAAATGTATGGGAGAGCTAATCTTCTAGAGGATGTATTTGTGATCATTTTTTCGTAAACATACGAAAGTTAACACTTAGTAAGTAGTGTAGACTGGCAAAAAATAGTCATCATGGATGCTATTTAATGTAAGTGCATAGTAACTTCTGGGACACAAATACATAGTATGTTCAGTTGCTGCAGAAAGGTAAATGAGGTTCAAAACTGTTAAGAATTTAGGAACTCGCCCTTAAAAAAAAAGATAATCTGCTTTTCTAGAATGTGAATTGGGCTTATCGTTTTTTGCTTTTTTTTAACTGAAAGGGATAAATTCAAATGCTCCATTTCTTTTGCTAATTTTCTGGCAAGAGAGGAATTACAAATACCTACAAGTAGCAACCTCTTCCAGCAGTCTTCCTATGCTTATCAAGATTAGGAGAGTTTTCAGATTAACGTGATTTTCACATGTTATTGGTGAAGTCACTGTATTGCTTTTACCATACTTCTGGTATTTCATATCGATAACACAAATATAAGGGGACAACTGGATAGTGTTAATGTTTATATTTACTTTACGGTCCTGTTTCCCTTCTTTGTCTTCTTGAATTTTTTACCTCAGCATAACATTCAGTAAGGAGATTTGTATGCTTACGTGTGTGAATAGGTGTAGCTAGGAACATTCCTAGACAACTTTTCAGCCTTTTGCAAACATTCTAAATGAACATCGAGATTGGAGTCGAATGAGAACTTGTTAATGCTGTCTTTTTACCATGTTTTAATAGGCAGAAATCCTACTGTCACATGTCAACCAGTGAAGAAAACCAGTGGATTGAGTTACTACTACGGCAAAAGCTATTTCCTGCTCGAAGACCGTCATAAAAACTGATTACAGGCCTAATGGAGCCTGTTTCAAACTCTGAATCTGGAAACGTTCCTTTCTAGAGAGGAGAGGTCAGTTATTTGCATTCATAAACCTTTGCTTTTGTAATTTGGAAGAACATGCAAAATATGAAAGCCAGCATCAATTTTCCTAAATTAAATTCAAATCAGGTCCTGAATCCTGCTTTGACATGTATTTTGCAAAGTGCCAACTGCCATCTCCTGTCCTTTAGCTGTTCTCCAGGCCAAGGGTGACAGTTGCTGGAAAAAGTCCTCTGTGGTGAAGACTGCAGGAGTCAGACTGCTGCGGGTCATGAGGGCAACCCACCGTTGAGAATTTCATCAGCTGAAAATAGGAGAGACTTCTCCATACAGACTCCAAAACAGGAATCCGGGCTTCAGATTATTTGTCAGAAGCAGTCTAAGTAGATTTTTGCTTTACCTGATTGTGTGAACGAACACAGGCTTCATGGGGACAATTTTGGATACGGTTTTGAAAATGTGACATACAGGTACTCTGTCGCATGCACCTTCATTGTGAAACATGCTCATTTCAGTTGTGTCTATAGATTGTCGTTTCACGTGAGACAGTCAATGGCACTTTGAACGCTTTGACTAGACAGGTCTTCCACAGTTTCATCAATGTGCTCGACTAGAGCTTAAACAAACTGATTTGTGTTTCAGGTCCAGCTTGTGTTATAAATTAGATCAAAACCGTACTTCAGTGTGCACCTGGGCTGGATCTGTTCTGTTCATGTTATCGTTGAGTTCCAGCTGCACCCATGGTAAAATCACTGAAAGCCCCATGTACAAGGCATTAAGCTTGGAGTTTTCTCAACGGGACAATAATCTGAGATTTACAGAATATTCTGCAGATACTTTTAGAACCAGATCTTACCAAGTATCAAGAATCTTGGATTCCCATTCACTTCAGTGGGCATAAAGCATGCTTAGTATCTTAACAGAAGGGTTTTGACACATTGGAAGACAATAAGTAATAGTAGCAAAAACAGGAAACTTTTTCTTCTGTATTACTCTTCTCTTTTTCTGTTTATTTCAATGACCAGCTATTTTTGATAAAATACATGTGACACGTTGAGCCACACAGCAGTCACACAAGAACACAGGGCTGTCAGATATTTATACTGCAACAATGCGCTCCTATTTAAATGACAATGACAATTCCTATCGAAATTCATGAATTTCTTACTTTTTTGCATGACTTTAAGGATCTTCCTGAACTCATTCTTTACAGTTATCAGCTTTTTTCTTTAAGTAAGCAGGTATGCTCTACAAATAAAAACAGGAAATAACAAATAGTAAATGCTGTAATATATATATACACATGTTGATATCTATATATTTTAAATTTGGGTTTAGCACCTGGTTAATAGATTTGCTTCTGTCTCAAAGGCTTATTTCCATCAATTAAAAGCAATTACATGATTTTCAAAGGCAATTAAATTCTAAAATCAGGAAAAAATCTTAAAAAATGGGAAGGAAATGTGAATTTGTTCATTTCACAAGCAGGAAAAATATTGTTATTTGGACAAAAGAAAACAAAGATGATGTGTAATTTGATGCAAAGATGTGCAAAGATGATGTGTCCTGTCATAATCAGCTTAAATGTTGATACCAATGATATTTTGCAAAAAAATCAGCGTACTGGTAAAAAGCATATGGATGAAGAGCAAATGCTGTACCTGGAAGGATCCCGAACTGGTCTTTCAAAGTGGTTCACAGGGGGTTTGAGGCACTTGTTTCTTTATTAAGTTCTGTTATAAAAAGAAAGTGTGTTAGTGTGTTAGATTTACAGCATTCCTATTAATAGTAAAAAGAAGCCCAGAAGGTTTATTTGAAAAACATGTAATACAGTAGAAAGTCGCAAGAGAAGGAAACCTTAGACAATACAGGGATGAGCCACGTGACAGAACTTAGAAAGACAAAATTGATGGAGGCTTCAAGAGATTGGCAAGATAAGTGATTCTCACCCCCTCCTCCTTTTTTTTTCTTGCACTCCTACTCAGCAGTTCTCAACTAGGGGCCTGTTTTGCAGAATGTGTCCGGGTATGAGTATATGGGGAACCCAGAAGGAAAGCGTTTGGGAAGATACGATGGCAAAGAGTGCACTGGAAGATGCCAAGGCAGTGAGAAGACTCTATCCAGGGGAAGGAGTGAGCAGTGCAGAAAGCACAAGCAGGGTGAGGGGGTTCAGCAAGTAAAGCTGCCCCCTCTCAGCAGGCTCCTCCGATCTGGGAGATGACCGCCATAGCAGATGGCTGGGAGGCAGTGGCTTTTCTCCACAGCTTTTGCCAGCCACATTGACTCCTTTGCCCCTGCGGTCTGTGATGCTCAGTTGTGCCCTTTCTGCACTCCATTGCTGCTGCTAACACCCACCTCCTGCTGCACTTCCCCTGGTCCTGGTGACTTGCCAGCAACATACCTCCCTCTGCCTAGTTACAACCACACTATCCCTGGGGGATTGTTTCCTATTTTGGGAACTACTGATCTGGTTCACCTCCTTAAATGAAGAGATCGCATGTGTATCTAGTCCATTGCTGACACTCATTTGTCAATTCTGTTCTCAAAGGCTTTTAATGAAGGACATTTCACAGCTTCCCTAATCTCTCTGTTCCAGTGCTTCACAACCCTATAGCTCAGTTTCTTCCCTAAATACTTAAGGTAAACATTCATGGCAAAAAAGCTGACTTCTTCTTGTCCTACCTTTGCTAGACATGAAGAATAAAGCAACGCTGTCCTCTTTTACAACAATTCTTTATATCCTGCAATACTATTTTCCTTCCCCTAATCTTCTCTTTTTGAGGCCAAGCAAACACAGCTCCTTCAATCTACGGAAGGAGATCACCTTTTCTGACCTCCTTATCGTCTTTGGCTAGATCCTCCCTAATCTGTCACTCTCTGCAGTGTGATGCCCAAACCTGGACTGTCTCTCAGGCATGACATCACCAGCGCTGTTTATACGGCAGTTCTAATTTCATTCATGACCAAAAAAAAAAAAATCACATTAATGCAGTTCCGGGGGAGATGGACAATAACGTTCATAGCAATGTCTCTGTTGGCGCAAGTTTGGAACAGATTCAAACTACGTAAGAACAGCACTTACGACTCAATATAATGAAAGCTTCACCATATCACAGGCTTTTACTCAGCATGTTTTCTAATTAGTACTTCACCCACATCTGTATGCAAATAAGAAGGGAATAACTAAACATATAAAGAGTACCTGAGAATTAGCATAAGTTACCAGATGAAGCCTCAGCTTGCATCAGGTCAACGTGTACATTAGAGACTTACTCTACGTTTAACAATGAAATTATACCAAGTAACACTTTCTGAAACTAGGCCTAAAGTGGAAATTCCTCAATGGAAATTTCTCTATCACCAGACCACATCTAGAAAAATCTAATAAAATCTAATTCAACAAAAGGAAGTCTGCTCATGGTGACACAATACAGAACATCTCCGATCGGCTTAGGAACTCAAACGTTGGGAAGGAGCTGAGAGCCTCATGCAGCTTGGAAGTGCTCACAAAGCGTCTGAAGCACATTATACTCTCCCATCTGCCCGTGTCACATTACTGCTGTTTCCAAAGGAATTTGGATATTGAAAAAGGGGGGAGCAAGACAGGTGGGTGACTAAGCCCAAAACATGACCACATATATGTATAGCTCCATATGCATTTGTAAGGAAAAACATGTAAAAGCATGTCTCTGACAGCTATGTATCTCTGACAGCTTACATATATTGACATGTACAAAAAAGAGTGGAGATGTGCATATGACAAATGGGGAATTACAGCATAAATTGCTTTTCTCATGCACCTTTTGGCCTTTTGCCTGCACACTTGGACACTAAGCTATTACTGGCTGATTAACAGTTCCCCCCTCCCAGCAAATACGAGGCATTATCAAGGGTAACCGATGGAATAGCGAGCTATAAATGTTGTCTTGGCATTTGTTTGGGCTGCGCTATTTGGGAACAATAAAAGCATCTCATATTCATAACGATAATACATATATACCACATCATATCACACCATCAAGCATTTTCCTTCTAACCTATGCTGCTGTGTAAAATGCAGAGATAAGCACCAATGTGTATTAATAGTATGTACATGTATGTATGTAACTGTAATTAATCAGAATTGGATGTTCCTGACATAATACTACTGTTGATAAAATACAATGAAAATCGTACACGTGTCTATGCAGAGATCGTTGAGTGCTGAACACTTAAAAAAAATCTCACTATTTCATTATCATCCCAGGAGGAAGCTGAGCTGTGTGGTCTTTCAAACGTACAACATAATTAGTGCAAAGAGTGAAAGCCACACCTATAAAGTCTGAAGCTAAAACGATCACCGACTTCAATGAGAACACAAATTCTAGGCACTGCTCGCTCTCTCAAAAGATTATAAAGAAAACGAAACAGGCAACACCTCTGTTCCTTTGATTGCATGCCCATGGGATGGGAAAGTATTCAAATCCCTTTTGCATTGCTCAGGGACTGTTGGCGCCTATTAAACCAAAATAGCACTGACAGAAGCCTACCAACTGATGAAGAATTGTAGCAGGACTATTGTTTCAGGGATGTGAAAGTTCTTTTAAAAAAAAAAGAAAAAAGGAAGGCAGCATTTCAAAGGGACGACAAGAAAAGGAAGGATGTGCGTAGCATGCAGAAGGTGGCTCAGAAACCATTTTTCACTGTCTCTTCCAATAAAAGAATTAAGGGGTACCTAATGAAAATAGCAGGTGGTGGGCTCAGAAAAAGACACAAGATGGGGTTCTTCGTGCGTTGCTAAATTACCTTGTGGAACTCCCTGCTGCAGGATTTTGAGGATACCCTAAGTTTCTGTGGGTTCAAGAAGTGACGCAAGAAATGAATAGGAGAAAAGTCTGTACTCTCTCCCACCTCTCCACTATGTACCACAGCCAGAAAAAGGCCAGGTGGATTTTTGGTTTGACGCTCCATGTCTGTTCATGTTCTATGTTTTCAGTTTTATTTTGCAGACGCACTTATTCCCATGTCAGTATTTCACAACATTAACGGCAAGTCAGCTCATGGGTGACCAAGCACAAAAGAAGCATAAACATAAAAGTACAAACACAGCAAATCCCAAACTTGCCTGACCTGGGACAGCGCTAAGGTGAGAAGATGGTTGCATTTTGGTAGATTTTGTGACTAACGTACTTAAGGTGCACAAAATACTATAACATCATGCCTCAAACAAAAATCAGCAACAGTACTGCTGTACTTTTACATATACTTAGCTACACATATGCAAACAACGTGTTTGCAGCTGGAAACGCATGAGCGAATTCTTACTATGTTGTACACACAAACTAGTAACGCAAGGCAATATATAGCACTTTCGTTACATCTGTTTTCACTGATGCAATGAATTCCACATACTCATACTCACTATTAACTAGTACTGCATTTTTGTCACAGAACGAGAGATAGAAAGAAAGACTTATCTCACCGTGCTCTTTATACCCTATCCCTGGTTTGACAGGGTAAGCTAGATCATCATGTTGGCTTAACGCAACCGATGAGATATAACCCATTATTCTCCTCTAAAAATTACTTGCATTTTGAAAGGTCATGCAGCTGTTTTCAGTTATATAATCTGTAGAATGATGCAGTGGGGCAGAAACAAAGATACAGCAGCAAATAAAATCACTGCCAACAACATATATTCGTCCCATACTCATAGAAGATTTTCCTATTTTTTGTGTCTTGATAAATGGGAATTGATGTAATGCTTTCTTAAAAGCAGATTGGGCCTACGTGTTTTGCCACGTACCCTGAGTGGTTCACTAGGAACGGAGGCAGTTGTACTTGGAAGTTTTATGAATATAAAGATTAATGAATTTGTACAATTTGGGCATGCAAAGCATTTTTATCAGGCATGTTCCATTTAGAATAAGCAGTAAACCATATATAAGGGTTGTGTCAAAGTTTACTGAATAGGGCCCTTGGTAGTTAATGTAACATTTCTCCAACAAATCAAAGGTATTGTTCTATGCTCACATGAATATACAGTAGCCATTACCTTAAATTTAAAACTCACTGTGAGCAGCAAACACACTGTGGGGATATGAAGGCCATATTGTATCAGTGCAGTCTGCAGAGATTTTCTTCATATGGCTTTGCCTGGTTGAAATATATGTTGCAGTTGAAAGCTAAAGGGATTACTTTTGAATAGTCATCACAAAGGTTGATTATATTCGTATATCATTTAGCTGGACCCTGCAGGCTATTATTCCATTAGCTATGCTGGCCCCGCACTGTCAAAAAGTTGATCATATGATGTAAAAAGGCTACATGCTCTGTTAAGGTATGTGAAGTAAGTCAAAACAGTAATCTTTTTAAGAGCACTGCAGCTTTGTACCTGAAGTTAGACTGCATTTAAAATAATTCCTGCAAAATGGGATAAATACAATAAACCTACTTCTGTTTCCTATTTTTCCTAATTTGAATAGACCTTTTGTAATTTAAATAAGGTAATTGCACCACGTAAGACATTTGCTAGAGTGTATTTTTTTCAACCTCGTATCCAAAGGACCATACTTCAAAACAGCTGGCTTTAAGCTACACGTTAACTGAAATTACATTTCTGGTGAAAAAGATTTGCTGATTAGGTTTCTCTTGCAGATACAAACACACACACATACACATCTTCTTTCACTGCTTAATAAAATGGATCTTCAGACAGTTCCATTATGTGGAAGCCTTAATATTATTTTATGCT